ACCATTTTTTCCATTAAAACTTCTGAAAGCTGTGTTCTCAGAGCTTGCTAGGTAAACAAATCTTTCATCTTCCAGGCCAAGTTGATGATGAGATGCTAGAGCATTACATTCACACAGTCCTCAGTGACCCCCATTCTCCACTCTCCCTCATGGGAGAGTAAACCCTGGTTTTCTAATGAACTCTGTCAAATGGAGCAGATGGCCCATATTGCAATATACCAGTTCCAGCACAGATCTGGATTCCTACATCCACTGCACACAGCTTGCCACTATTTATGTATTTAATTTATTTATGCATTATATTCAATGTCAACCTTTAAGGCTATATGATCATGTAAACTCACTCGGGTTTGTTTCTGCTAGGAAAGATCAAATCTGGAGTAAATTATGGAATGCAGAAGAAATGAAAGCTTAAAGAGACAAAAGCCAAAGATGTCAAATCTTGTCCATTTCTTTTGCACTTGTATATTCACTGTGGCACATCCCTGGAACTGTTACTAGACATTGGAACAATGACAGTTTCAGTCTCTTGCGACTGGAAAAGCAGAACTGAACCAGAATGATTTTCATTCCATGTTTTTTGCTTTTTTCCAGACTATTAAAATTGAATCAGTTATAGGTAATATTCACATGGGAGCTTAGAGGTGGGGTGTCACAAGCCATACCTAAGGAAAACTATGCCTGTGTGCATGTGCTTGCCTGTCCTCTGGAATGATCCCAGTGAATCACTATACTTCATGGACTGCCTCATTTCAAATCTCATCTGAAAATGTAGCTTTTCTCCCTTACCTAGATCTCTTAATTCCTCTCTTCCTTTATTGTTTCACAATAGAATTGTATTATTTTCAGCAACTCTGTAGATCAATTTAAGTTGAAAATGTCACAGAATGAAGTTTTCTATTTTTATTAAGCAAGTTTCTGCTTGACTTCTAGCACTGAGCAAGCTCTAGAAGTAAACTGAATTCCAGCCTGTGATTGATTATTCAGATATGGCACATTCTCTATAAACCATAGACTGTCTGGTGTCTATGCTTGGTTTCTGATTTACACTGTAAGCACATGTTTCCCTATGTTTTGACAATTTCTTTGTCAATCGACTCTAACTAAATGATCTCTAACTAATGATACTAGCAATGATGATGTGTCTGTGTACTGTGCTATAGATCTGTTCATCCCTGGGCTTTTACATGTGCTCCCAGTCACCCACAAAAATCTGTAGAAAACTGCATGCCACTCGCATTCGTGTTTACTCATAAATCTGCTTTCAGATCCTTTGGAACTGATAACATTCTTGGTGAACTCACTAACTTCTTCGCTGCTGTCTGAAATTTTCGGGAGCTCAGCCATACACTTCAGTGGAACTTTAAATGGGTGTAGCATAGACCCAAGAGTACTTTTCACAGATACATGCCATTCCCCGTTAAAGTAATTCTTGTTGTGGCCTTATAACCTAGGTCTTTGATATTTTCTTGCCATGCTTTGACTCCTATGTTAATATTTTAGGGGGATGTTGGACTCTGTCACTCACAGCACTTTTTTGCCGAACACCATGATCTGCGAGCCTCTGATGTCATGGACAGAATTGTTTGGGACAACAGAAGACTATTATCCCACCTTTGATCATCAGACAGGTATGTAAATAGGCTCAGTTTGACAAAAAGTGTGAGACTGATACATGTCCAAGACTGGACTGAATTTAATAGAGTTAAAACAACTGTGATGGTCCAGGCATACCAGGATTTATTCCTGACTTTGCTTTTGACTCCCTCTGTAACCCTGTGCTCGCTGCTCAGCCTGTTGCAGTGTTTATTTCTAATTAAAAAACTAGTGCTCTGTTCAGGCACACAAGCTGCTTGCAGCAAAAATAATATGTGCACATCTGTAACAGGAATCATATATCTACAAGAGACTTGTGTTGCATACATCACTAATAATGTATGGAGGCCCCACAAACATTGCTGGATTCCTCACTGCAACATACTTGTGGCATAGGGAAGCTTTCTCACCATTATCTAGGTGGAAAAGCGAATCAGAGAAATAAAGTGATTTGCTCAAGGTCAGCCAGAAATCTGCGGGAAACCCAATATTTAAACTTAGATCTCCTGAATCTTACCCCATGACTTCAAAAGAACATCATTGCTTTTCAGCTATCGGTTAATTACGTTTTTTAGTTTCAGCTATCAGTTAATTAGGCATTGCCATCTTCATTTTGCAAGAAGACAAATGGAGACTCACTCCATTTCAGCAATAGTCCCCCTTACTTACAGAGGGAGAAAAAAGCAAAGTCAGGAATAGATCCTAGTATGCCTGGCTCCCAATCTTTTGCTCTGTCTGCTTTAAAACAGCACATGCTAATGAAGTGCTTTTGCCTAACTTTGAACATCAGACTGACTATGCAATAGTAATTCAGTTTGGTGACATCTCTTTAAATTTTCTGTAACTTTGTATAAATGTATGATATTAACTGTATTATCCATAGTAGCAAGAACCAGTTAAATCCATAGTAAACATCTGAGGTTGTGGGGTTTTAAAAAACAGCACAGATCTCTGTGGATTGTAGTAATGTACCTATATTAACTCAATAATGCCCCCACTGGACTAGTTACTGATTACTCCTGAATGTGTAGTGTACAATTCCCCCACTGTGATTATGGAAATCCTACACGTCACCAAGCCATAAGACTCATCTGGGGAGTATAGTTAATTTTAAGGAATGTACTCCAAATGGCATACTTTCAGGCCAGATTCCTGCTATGAAGGTTCAGTTAGCATTTCCCATTAGAAACTCTTTTTCTTCCATAAGAGTTTGATTTCATTCTTAAATGACTGGACTTTGGGGCCCTTCTCTCAAGCTAAATCATTCAATAGGCTCTGAAAAAAAATGTAGCATAGTCTCACTGATGTTACTAAGCCAAGCTTCTGGTGAAACTTGGATCTGAATCAGATTTACACATAAAATTTTGCCCCATAAAACTACTTTTATGTCTTCAAATTACAAAGTTGGCACTCTTACAGAGCAGACTTTGTCCCCTAATGAGACAGTTTAAGTACTGGACAACAGCACTTTTCAAACAGTTTAAATCTTAACAAGTTTATGATCATCAAACCTTAGCCATTCAAAAAATTTCCCACATGATTTGAAATAGAAACTACTCCAAATACTCTATTGCTTCAGCTAAAGAAGAATCCAAGTGTTGTGTAGGAACTAGTAGTTCTTGTTTTCAGGAAATTTGGTTTCATCCTAAATCAAAGCAAAATAAATTAATGTCTAAGGGTGTATCTAGACTACAGAGTTTTGTCGACAAAAGTGGACTTTTGTTGACAAAACTATACCTGCGACTATACTACCGCTGAGTTCTGTCGACATAATGTCGACAGAACACAGCAGTTTTGTCGACACTGGTAAACCTCATTTTACGAGGCATAATGCCTTTTGTCGACAGAGTTCTGTCGACAGAAGGTGTTATTGCATCTAAGGTTGTGTCTAGACTACAGGGTTTTGTCGACAAAGGTGCTTGCTTTGTCGACAGAACTGAATGTAGTCTAGACGCTCTTTGTCGACAGAAGCTTTGTCGACAGATATTGTCGACAAAACTTCTGTCGACAAAAGCCTGTAGTCTAGACGTACCCTAAGTTTCCTGTAAAACAAAATGGGGGGGGAGGGGCGGGATTATTTCAGGTAAATCAATGTTTTGTTTCACTTTTGGCTTTTTTTTTTACTTTAGATTATAAATTTCATTCTTTTCAAGACATATATATATATATTTCTAAACAAAATGTAGGAATGAATCAACATTTCCCAATGGAAAATAATTCTATTAGAAAATTTTCCACTAGCTCTGAGCATCTTCATTAGCTGTTAGCAGTTTATGTCCTATGCTGTTCCGAGTCCATCTAATTCAAAGACAGTACTATTGCATATGGACACTGGAAAGAACATTGACTGTCTACGTTAAAGTTTTTGAAATGTTTCATAAGCTTACATCATTAGTACTTTGTGCTGGGATCCTACCAGACATCACATTTTAAGATGGGTTGGGTAGGGTAAGTACTTGGCCTTCATTTGACCCTGCACTAATGTATACATCTTGTTGGCTTGTCAGTACAGCTATGCATGAACCAGTGCATTCTGGGAAAATCTGCTATCCCATACTGCTTTGAGTGCAGAGCAGGATTATAGAAGTCAGTGGGAAAAGTCCCTGTGCTTCCCTTAGTCCTATCTGCACAAAGTCTTTGATCCTTGTTATCATGAATGAAGCTTCTTTGTTGGGGAATTGTGAGGCTTCTTGCCATTATACATGTAACCCTAGAGGTGGGACATGAATCCAAACAACTTTGCTAGATCCACAGAATTTCATTCCCCTGGGTTGGAATGGAACAAACACTTAAAATATTCAGTCTGGCAAAAAAGTGCCATGGGACAGTTATTGTAACTTGAATCCAACCTTAAGGCAAGTAACACCCCACAACTTCGCAAAGGTCCAGGTGATGGTTGGAACTCTGTAGCTCCCACTTATCTGTTTTCAACTTCTAATCTTTCTCAGAGACCATGGTTGCTAAAACTAGTGTTTTGGGATGGTGGGGTGCTGCAGCACCCCTCATCCCCAGCTTGAGAAGTTACTTCCAGTATGTGTGGTGTTTTACATTTCAGTTCAAGGGTTCTCATAACCCCCATTAAAATTGTTACTGTCCCTCACTTCTAATTCTAGGCACACTTCTAAAATGTTTCTGTACTGACTGCTGAGTTATTTATTTGCTCCCCTCCTCATCTCACATGAATAGTTTTCACTTAGAATGTCACTATCCCTCAAGGAAAACATATCCTGTTCTTTCCTTCTCTGTCAAAGGAAATTTGTACATCTCCTATAGAGTCTCTGTCCTTATTGCTGATTTTTCTTCCAGAAGAGTATACAGTGCATACCCCAAAGGAAAAGAATGCTACTCTGGAAATTAAACTTCAGTGTAAGGAGTAAAGGAAGAGTGCTTTTCAAATTGCCAGACCTCTATGTCATCACCTTTTGAGCCTCCATGACCCAGCTCAGCACTTTTTGGGACCTAAGAATATCTTCTGCCTTCCAGAAATAATCAGCTCTTTTTAGAAGTCAGTAGGGATGCTAACCTGACAAGAACTGTTCCATGAAAGGAACATGCCATGGCATTTATATTGCCAGCAAAGCTGATATTTATCACCATCAAGACAAAATTTCAGAACGAGTTGCTTACGTATTTAAAGGTTACTTACTGTACCTTTTAACTATAGAGGAACAGTAACTTTTATCTCATGGTATCCTAAGGGAAATAAAAATAGATGCACCAAAAGAGCAAACTTCATTTAACTCTTCAACACATGAAAAGGAAGTTGTGGCCTTGACCTTCACCCTATTTTTTACATAAAAAGAATAAATCCAAACAGTTCCAGGATCCCAAAGGTGCAAACAAGACACCACCAAAAATATAGGACCAGATTCATGCCGTGGCGCCTCCACCTGATTTGGGAGTAGGGAAGGCTACTTTGTTCCAATTCTGCCACAGGGCTGGAGCCAGCCCTCACAGTCCCCAACAGCAGGTGTTGCCAGTCAGGAGGGACAGAGGCAGGCAATGCAGTGATTCCTGACTAGCCTCCAGAGCCTGGGGAATACATCTGACTTTCAAGCTGCCCTTGCTCTGCAAAAGGTCTGAGGGAGGCTGGTGGCTCTAAAGCTGCTTCTCACCCACATGAATCAATTATCCTTTGGCATAACCATACACACAGTTCCAAGGCCTATAGAACCTGACCTAGCATCAATTTGTATTTCACAAATTGACTTCTTTCTTTATAAAGGACCAAAAACAATGTCAGAGCCAAATACCCTCAAAAGTTTTGAGAGTCTGGGAAACCCATATCCAAAGTTTGCATCTTTTGGCCTCCTCTCCTCCTTTCTAGGCTACCTCCCTTGGATGAGATGATAGATCTGCATGGGATCTACAGCATGAACAATATGTACAGCATAATTTTAATTCTGTATGCATGAAAATGGGGATATTTACAGTATGTAGATGATACATGAAAGAACAGATTGTCCTATTGGTTTTAAAATTTCATGAAAAAGATCTATTTATATTATAAAAACCCATTTAGAATGCAATATCCATGTTTCTGACACTGTCACAATTTTGAATCATTTCATTGATTTCATTAGGGCAGTCAAATCAGAGGGGTGGGGAACCTAAGGCCTGGAGGCTGGATGTACTCCCCCCCCCCCAGCATTTGGGAGACCTTGCTGGGTTAGGGTTAGGGTTAGGGTTAGGGTTAGCCTCTCTGGGGCTGGGGTCAGGGTCAGCTCGAGTCATTCCTGCGCCCCAGGCAGCGGGCGCACAATGCATGCGTGGCCCTGCCCCCGGCGCGTTGCACACCTTACAGCTACAATTGGGCGCACGGCACCTGATTGCAGCTCTAAGTGGCGCCACGCAGCCCCCGGCCCCGGGCACACAGCGCCTGATGGCAGCTGTAAGGGGCGCCACACAGCCGGGCGTGTAGCACCCCTTACAGCTACCATCAGGCACCCCCCATAGGTTGGCGCCCCGGGCAACTGCCCGGCTAGCCCCCCCTTAATCTGGACCTGGCTGGAGTACATAAAATCAACTAACCTGGCGTGCGAGGGGGACGTGAGGAGTGTCTTTGCTGTTTTTTTCTGTAACAGACCAACTCAGCTAAGACCTTGAAGCTCCTTGTCCTTCTCAGTCAGGGGTCTTGTCAGTGAGGGTTTGTTTTTGTTTTCTTGACTCTCACTTGTGTGCGGCCCCTGACTGATTTTTCTGAGGGTCAGCAGCCCCTGAGCCAAAAATGGTTCCTGACCCCTGAAATCCTGAAGTAACCTTCCTGACTAGGTTATGACCAAAAAACAATCTATTATATATTTTGAAAATTGACGAGGAGTCCTGTGGCACCTTATAGACTAACTGAAGTGTAGGAGCATAAGCTTTCGTGGACAAAGACCCACTTTGTCAGATGCATGTGCATCTGACGAAGTGGGTCTTTGCCCACGAAAGCTTATGCTCCTACACTTCAGTTAGTCTATAAGGTGCCACAGGACTCCTCGTCAATTTTCAAAATACCACTACATGCATCTGACGAAGTGGGTCTTTGCCCACGAAAGCTTATGCTCCTACACTTCAGTTAGTCTATAAGGTGCCACAGGACTCCTCGTCGCTTTTGCAGATTCAGACTAACACGGCTACCCCTCTGATATTTGAAAATTGAGTTTATTTTGCACAAACAAATCCACAAAGTCATACTTCGTGATTACCTACAGATACCAAATTTTGCATAAACAATGCTGCCACTTAAATTAGCTGAATGCACTACTTTTTACACCAGAACACTGTCATGTGTTCCCTCCGTCATGATTCGTACAGGCCAGAGCCTCGGGTCATGTGAATTGGCATAGTTCTTTTAAACTCATTGATTAGAGCAATATTCTCAAAGGCTGATATTTCTGTCATGGACCCAGAATGTCTCCTGAGGCCAATCCTTACTCATTCTCAAGGACTCCAGTGTAACAAAAAGAATTTATCTAGTGAGTTAATAGACATAGTGAGTCTGGGACAATGTTCCCTGTAAGCTGTGCACTTGTGCAGCTGCTCAAGGAAAAATCACGTGTCACTCATCATCTGATTAACAGAGTGCCCACAGTTAAGTTTGTGTTTCTGTTGGTGGTGCGCATTTGCACATTCACACATGCATCACTATATATACAAAGTTATTCCACAAATGAATAGAAAAATCTGCATATGGATGGAAAAGATAAGAGGGAACGTTGGGTCTGAGAGGCAGAATTTTGTGTTGATTTTTCACAGGCATTGGGAAAATGCATCTGAAGCTAAAGGGCATTTTAGTGGCTTTGGCTATTGTTCTAGTGGTTGATCCATGCAGGCTGCACCTGCACAGATAGCCTGTGGGAGCCTTTTGCAGGATGAAGGACTTTTCCATGTGTGTTTTCCTCTAGTATCTAGTTTTCAGGCAGGCTACAAAGCCTCCTATTACAGTTCGCTACAGATATTCTCTGTTAGCTCAAGTGGTAGGAATTTGTACATTTGTATCTAAAGCTTCCCTGTATATGTCATCTGTACAGTAATAATGTCTGTTCACTGTACCCTAGGCCTGTGTACCCCTGTTCAACATCAGAGCTAGTTTTTAAAAAAATCTATTCTACAAACTCTCAGAAAAATATTGTTCAAGTTTTACTGTACAATATTAACAAAATTTTCCGACAGACTCTATTTCTGATTGAGAAACTTTTTCACGTTTGTTGAATAAAATATTGACACTTCTGACTGAAATATTTTTAGACTAAAAATTGCTTACCAGCTCTACTAGCATTTTTCTTTATCTGTCAGAGATGCTTCCCTAAAAATAATTTTTCTGGGAACTACACATTACACCATCTAGTGGCAGTCTCTAATATAAAAAAAGTTCACAAAACCCTCACACCTGGAATTCATCCTGAAGTTAATGTGATGTGTGATGTTAACTTGCTGAGTATAGCTGTGATAATTAGCATTGACCTTAGTAATTAACTTACCATGTTTTCCTACCTGCAAGGGATATTGTTAGGTTTCTTTAAAGCTTACATAGTGTTTTGCACATCTCTCAGCCTCTCATTATTCATTGTTCATTATTCATTAAACATTGTTCATTTGTACTGCAAAATGTACTATAAGTCATTGAATTTTGGTTCACTTCACTTTTACTGTTGACAATTTATTTACATCAAAAAGAAATAATTGTTAAATTGGGGAGAGAAAGTTATTTAAGCTAAAGGATTTGATCCCACAGTATTTTAATTATCTGGCAGGAATATTTTGGTGCCTCTCACTCTGGGTTTGTGTTTCATCTTCTGTATCACACTTGAGGTGTAATGGATTGAAAGGTGTGTGCTTTTGAGATCCTCCTCCAATAATGTCCTACACAATAATGAATATCTTACATGCAAAAAGCTGTAACACTAGGCACCAAAACATAAGCAGACAGTATTAAAAGGAATAATTGAGGAAGCTTGTGGTCTTGCTAGAATAAGAAATGGGAACTGCCCTTGTATGGAACATGCTCACTGGAAAAGATGTCATAATGTAAGTATTTCA